ATGTGATTTTTATTTATAAATATCTGTGCCTTTTAAATTTGATGCCTACTTTGAATAGGAAACAAGGCTGGTATTTTGAGAATATTTTTGGATAAGTCAAGTGAGTGTAGTTGAGTCCATTTTCTCACTTACACAGTGAAGGAATTAAATTGGGTGATCTCCAAGACTACTTTCAGATCTAGGAATCCATGGTGAATGATGCCCTAAACTCTTCAGATTCCTTCTTTCATAGCAGTGGAAAACAGGGCTTGAATCTCTACATCAGTTAGTTTGCTTTTCTGTCATTAGTATTTCTTTGGAGGACTGGCCAGGAGACTTGTCCCTTTGGGCTGAGAAGTGACTTTTCTCATGTGAGGGTTTATATAATTAGTTTTACAACTTGGTGATTTATAATTGCAATCAGCACCCTGGAAGCTCGTTATCTGTCAGATAAGAGTCTGGTCATTTGATCTCCGTGTTGGTCCCTTGGTTACTTTGCCTCTCTTCTTCTGATAAGGTGGTTATTGATAGCCGTCAGGGCTTTAATTACTTAATGATTGTGATGAGCGTTAAAAGGTCCCCAAAAGGACAGCCTTTCAGTCTAACATCCTCTCCTCCTTTACTTCCCACAGTCCTTACCTTTCCCAGTTGAGACATCTCTGAACTGCCAAAAAACATCGCAGGGAGGACACAGATTATAGCCTTGGTCCTAAATCCTCAAAAATATTTGAGAATCCTCTCTTTTCTCTGTCTCCTCCTGACATACAGAGGGTTATGTTTGCCAGATTTAGCAAAGAAAAATATACCCAGTAAATTTCGGATAAAGAAAAAATTTTAATGTAAGTATGCCCCATGCAAAATTTGGAACATACACAGACTAACCAATTATTTATTGCTTCTCTGTCATTCAAATTTAACTGAACATCCTGTATTTTATTTGGCAACCCTGCAGAGAGTGCATACCCTAAATGCTTTCCTAAGTCCATCTAATATTTTGAGATCTAAATTTCTTTGATATTCACTCCTAATTTAAACCTTGCAGGGACTGTTGGTAACAACGAAGGCTGTGGTTTTATTTAGCATTTGCATGAAGTGTAGTGGCTGCTGCACTGCCCACCTACACAAAACTCCCTTTTGTGGTGAGAATATAAGAATAGAAACACTTTGCTGGAGAAACCTAAGCTAGATAATTTTCTGTTTTGTAAACTTATTACATATTTCAAAGATACAAGCAAAGACAGTGATATAATGCATTCCACACAATTCATTTACACCCTATTCAGTTTTCTTCATTTTGTTTGGTTGGGTCGGTAGGTGTGGGTGTGTATATTGTTATCCCCTGAGTCAGTGGTTTTGAACCTTGGCTGTGCATTAGAATCACCTAGAGACCTTTTTTTTTTTTAATTGAAGTGCAATCAGTTATAATATATCAGTTTCTGGTGTACAGCACAATGTCCCAGTCATGCATATACATACATATATCCCTTTTCATATTCTTTTCCATTAAAAGTTATTAGAAGATATTTGAACATAGTTCTCTGTGCTATATAGTATGAATTTATTGTTTATCTGTTTTATATATATTAGTATCTGCAAATCTCAAGCTCCCAATTTATCCCTTCCTGCCCCCTTCACCCACTGGTAATCATAAGTTTGTTTTCTATGTCTATGAGTCTGTTTCTGTTTTGTAAATAAGTTTGTCCTTTTTTTTAGATTCCACATACAAGCGACATCATATGGTATTTTTCTTTCCCTTTCTGCTTTACTTCACTTAGAATGACGATCTCCATGTCCATCCATGTTGCTGCAGATGACATTATTTTGTTATTTGCTATGGCCAAGAAGTATTCCATTGTATGAATATACCACAGCTTCTCTATCCAGTCCTCTGTCGAGGACATTTAGGTTGTTTCCATCTCTTGGATTGGGATACAGGTATCTTTTTGAATTAAGGTTCCCTCTGGAAATATGCCCAGGAGTGGGATTGCTGGATCATATGGTAAGTCTGCTCATTAGAATCACCTTAGGATGCTCTAAAAAATAATGCCTGGGCCCCACCTCCCAGGCCCTCTTCTGGGAGGCTCTGTTCTAATTGGTCTGGGGCAGAGCCCAAGCATTTCTGTCTTTTAAAAAGCACCTGAGGAGATTCTGGGCTTAGGCATATTTGAAGGCCAGTATTGTTAAATATGTCAAATACCTGCCCCGCTGATCATCTGAATATTCCTGGGGAAATTTAAAATATACATATAATTGCCCTGCTTAATGAGGTAGGAAGGATTTTGAGGTTCTGGAAAGAGAAGAAATGAGGAGATGATAAACAGCCTTCAGAGAGATGGGTATAAAATGAGGAATTCCTGCTTGGGGTGCAGCTAAAGGACTTTTGCGAATAAAAATAAGGATGTCTGTTATTTTAGAAATAGTTTATTTCTTCTGCTCCACTTCAGCCTACCCTGTTGTGTTGCTCTGAAATCTTCAAAGGTCGCCACACTCAGGGACAGGGATGCATGCCCACACCCATGTGGAGGAAATGTCCGAGGTCCAGGCTGTACCTGTGGGAACCTTAATTCAGGAGGTTCAGAGTGAGGCCAGACACTCGTCCTTTAAAACCTTCCCTAGACCATTGTGGGGAGATAGCAGGTTTGGTCACCACTGCGTTGTATGATAACATGTTCCTAGACATGGTCATCGCAGTTGATCCCATTGACAACTGGGCAGATTCATGTGGGGTAACAGTGAAGTCAGTGATAAAACTAGAGTTTTGCAACAGGGATTCTCATTAGACCTCCCTCAGATCGACCTGGGCTTTTTCTCCTCAAGTGGCTATGTGAAGGAAGAAGTTAACCTTTCTAAGATGGGACGGAAGATGGCCAAGGAGGAGGCATCCAGAAAAATAAATAAATCAATTAAAATTTCAAAGCAGACTTAATCTTCAGTAATATGAAGTAACAGAGAGGAACATGGCATACACCATCAACAGTCATGAGGCACCAGTCCAGAGACCGCATGCATTCATCAGTGAGACAAGGACTCAGCTGGGCCCTGCAGATCCAGGATGTGGTATCACCTAGAGGAATTTACAGTCTAGAAGAGGAAACCAATAATTATATAGATTATATAGGAAAAAAATAGAAAACTCTACAAAGCAGCGTGTATAGACCCACTTTATGGGGGATTAGAGGTAAGGGCAGACTCAGAAAAGCATAGGACAAAACCTGGCTTTTGAAAGATACAGTGACTAGGGTATGGGGAAAGTGGAAGGAGAAGGAGGGGGAAGAAACAGCACTTCTTATCAGAGTGATTGGAGCTCTGGGCACAGGGACAGAGCCCTAGCGCCACACAGCAGGTTGCCCGAGTTATAGGTGGCCGTGCTGTGCTCCGGAGGAGGTGGAGGCAGAGGAGGCAGGGTGGGAGTGTTGCTGTGTGTCACACCCCACTTGCATACGTCAGCCCACTCATCCTTGGGTATTACGAGTTGCTGGAATAGTAAATAAAGTTAGATGAGAAGCCAACCAGCCTTAACTAACCCTAAAACAAAAGATGTACAATCCTGATTTGTCAGATTCTGCTGCAGAATCGTCTTTCTGCGGGCTTGCTTATTTATTTGTTTGTTTGTTTCTTTCTTTCTTTATTAATGGAGGTGCTGGGAATTGAACTGAAGACCTCTTGCATGCTAAACACTCACTCTACCACTGAGCTATAGCCTCCCCAGGTTTGTTTGTTTTTTTTAATTCACATCTTTCTGCAGGCTTATTATTTCCTATCATCTGAATTGATACTTGATTGCATTTGCTGCTGGAATTCCTTTACATGCTAGACTCAAGCATTTTCAGCGTCCTTGGACATCAGCATTTATTTTACGTGGTATTTTCATTTTGATCATATGAACCCAATTTCAATTTGAATGTCATTTCAGTTTGGTGAGAACCTAACTTTTCACCATGAGGGAATTTTATTGACCAGTATCGGTAATCCCCCCACCTGCCTGAGGTCACCACAGTGACCCTCGACTCCTCTGCCCTTAACTGCCTTCGAGTGGGGCTGTTGGCGTCAGTTGTTGTTGTGTGTACTTAATTTTTATTATAAAATGTATCATTCAAATACTCAGGCAAATATAAAGAGTCATGTGTCAAACACCAGTTTACTTACCACACAGCTTAGTCAAATCGTAACAGTTTGCTCTATTTGTGCCAGTTCTTTTTTACAAACAAAAACGTTGCAGATACAGTTAGCTGAAGTTCCCTGTCTATCTCTTCCAAGTCTCATTCCCCTTCTCCCCAGAGTTAATACCATCCTAAGCCTAGTGTTTATCACAGTCGTCCATGCTTTTATACATTTTCTACACATGTGTGTCCGTAAACAACATTCATTATTACTTTGTAAGTTTTTTAAACTTTGCTTAAATAATTGCATCCTTGAAGTATCCATCTGTGCCTTGGAGTTTTATTGAAAATTATGTTTTTGAGATATATTAATGATGACACATAAAGATTTAGTTCATTTTTTTAAATTACTACATAGTGTTCAATTTATGACTCTATCAAAATTTACTTTTTATTGCTTACAGATAGACATTTGCATTTTTCCAATTTTCCACATCATAAAGCTACAGTGAACATCCCTGTACACATTTCCATGTGCACAAACATTGGATTTTTATTCCTTAATCATTTATTTTGCTCATATGAGTAGTATTCGTTTTGTAGGTAGGTAGGTAGGTAGATAGATATACAGATATACAGATATATGGATACATCAGCCATCCTAATAGTCTTACAAATGACAACATAATCAACTTTAAAATGACATTATGGAGGTTGGGGATATAGCTCAGTGGTAGGGCATATGTTTAGCATGTGCAAGGTCCTGGGTTCAATTCTCAGTACCTCCACTCAAAAAATTAAAAAATAAAGTATAAGTAGTAAGCCATTTTTAAAAAATGACATTATAACATTGCACTGATGTTTTCTTTTTTTTTCTTTTTTTTTTTTTACTTTTTATGCACTGATGTTTTCAACTTGTAGCCTTTCACGAAAGTCACCAGGAACTTCCCTCGTGGAGACATAAGCCTCAGCTCTGGACCATAGAATAATTTAAGGAGTAACCAAATGTGAGTACAGAATTGGAAAAGAGGCTAATGTACCTTCAAGAAACTTGGGGTCAATTTAAGGACTGATTTTCCCCTTTTTTTTTGTTTGTTTGCCACGTAAATGGTTAGAGTCCACCTCCTGATTCACTGTTCCCCGAATATTGACTTAGAGCCGACTTGCTGCAGGATTTAGCCACTGAATTTAATACGATCCTTTGTTGAAACTGTACACGTTACCCACTCGTTGCCCTGGAAGGAAATGTCATGTATGTTCTTTATTGACTTTGATTTCCTTTCATTTGTTAGTGCCTACTGTGTCCAGATCACTACGTTAGGTGCCCGTGGTGTCCAAAGATGGAGTCCTCAGAAGAACTGACAGTAATACCTCCAGGAAGAGACGCTTGGGAACAGTCAGCAGTAGGATTTTGGCATCTGAAATCGAGTTTTTATTTTCTCCCTTAGTGACACTCGGGAAATGCTTGTCTCCTGCTGTTGATGCTGTTGATTTCAGAGTACTATGGATCATGCTGAAGAAAATGAAACTCTTGCAGCAACCCAGCGGTACTACGTGGAAAGACCCATCTTCAGTCATCCAGTCCTCCAGGACAGATTGCACAAGAAAGACAAGATTTCGGATTCTATTGGGGATAAGCTGAAACAGGCATTCACGTACGTTGTCTTGACCTGTTTCCCCGTTGTCTTGACCTGTTTCCCTTACTCTGTCATTAGTTATGAGAGAAGCAAGGTCACGTGTATAAAGAGAACCTGGTGACTTGGAGGAAAAAGCAAATGGTGAGCACTCATGATTTGCAGAGCTGTCCTCACGGTTCATTCAGTGGGAGGTATTTGATGAAACAGGCTTCATTATGTATTTCACCATATTTATTCAGGTCCTTCTATGCCTGATGTCTATATAAAGGTTTATATAAACAACTCACTTTCCAATTCACCACCCACCTTCGAAATACCCACCTTGTCCCTCTGTCTCTCAGGAGTGTTCCTACCACTCTGTCTTTTTCCCACTTGACTTCTACTCCATTTGGCAGCACCTCGAATCTGTGAAGCTAAGTCCCCAAGCTGAGCTGGAAGACACTCACACAGCCATGCTGCAGGCTTGGGAACTTTCACACACTTGCACCTCCAGAAAGCCCCGGACTTCAAACCCAGTCCATCTGATTCTGCCTCCTCCACCCTTGAGACCACACCTTCTGTGCTGTATTTATGTAAGCTTCACAATGACCCTGTGTTCTAGGTGTGCCATCAGGAGAGGTTAAAAATAGGTACACTGGAGTCAGACTGTCTTCATCTTAGTCCCAGCCACCTACCAGTTGTGCACTTGAGTTTCCTGCGCTGTGAAATGGGGATACCAGTAGTACTCACATCACAGAGTTACTGGGGTTGAAAAACCTGTCAGTATATTCGAAGTGCAAGGCGCATGGCAAGCACTATATGAATGTAGCTGTTATTAATATCTCAACTTTCTAAACAAGGAGGCTGGTATCCAGTCTGGTTTGTGTCTCTCACACTCATCACTCTTGCCGTAGTTGCCTCACATTCTGCTTCCGGTATCTTCCTGCATCTGATTACCAGATACTCTTAACCACTGAAGACACTATATCAAATACCATGCATGCTGCAATACTGTATTATCTTTTAAACAGGGTAAACTGCTTCCCTGTCACTCCAGGAGGACTTGAGGCTGTCATAGTGGTGATGGAAGTCATCTGTCCATACTTTTACTCATTGATGTCTTCGATTGGGGGCATAGACTGGCAAAAGGACTGGCTGAGAGTGAGAATACAGTCTATGTATCAAAGTTACTTAAACCACGTAGGGATTAAATGCAGACCTTGGTTTTATCAGCATGATGTTCCACTCAACCAAGACAACCAGACATAGACTCAGCTCCCATGCTCCAGTGACAGTGGTGTTTTGAGTTTAACTAATCAAGACCCTAAAGCATTGCACACATGTTCATAAAACTCATAATACCTGTATAAATTTCCTTCATGTTATAAGGAAAGGGAAATCCAAATAGGTAGATACCAGTCAGTGGTTCCACATTCAAAACTTAAGTCAATCAGTAAATGATTCCCTTACTTCATTTTTACACCAACATCGAAAGTACATTAAGGATTTCACCTAGTGAAATAATAGCTTCTGGATATTTCCATTATTTTGAAGCTAAATTGTTCTTGTTTTCTATGGTCAGTTGTAAGCATTATTGTGGAGCCAATTCAGATGTTATTGTTTCAATAATAATAATAATAATAAATCAGCAGCTCTTCTTGTCTCTGACGTCTGCAGAGTGGAAAGGTCATCCTCAGCTGTGAGCTTTTCCTTGTTGCTCCAGAATGTGAGGGAGGGAAAATGCCTTGGTGTGAATTCTACATTTTGTCCTCATTTTGTCTATTTCTTTCTCCTCCCAGATGTACTCCTAAGAAAATAAGAAATATCATTTACATGTTCCTTCCAATAACCAAGTGGTTGCCTGCCTACAAGTTCAAGGAGTATGTGCTGGGTGACTTGGTCTCAGGCATCAGCACAGGGGTGCTGCAGCTTCCTCAAGGTCAGAAGGATATATTTCTTTTATTCTTTCCTCTGCTACCATCTCCTCAAACAATAACTTGACCTTTTTTTGTTTAATTTCATCATGATTGTAAATTCATAGTTTTTATCATATCGTTGTAGTAACGTTTCCCCAGCTAAAGGAATTTTTCAGGAACATTTAAATATACATGCTGTATTTTATAGGTAAAATCAGCAAGACCAGCTAGTAGATTGATCTGGGGGAGAATAAGGAAGCAGGGCTTGCCAAGAATTTCTTTAAGGTTTCTGAGCTTTGAGTTGGATGTGGGGATAGTGAGAAAGAGGGATGGATGATGAAGGTGACTCTCAGGTTTCTGGTTCACCTGAGAGATGGAGGTGCCACTTGCAGACGTGACAAAGACTGAAGGAGGGATAGAACTGAAGGGTAAGTTTGAAGATGGTGATGCTTGTGAGATAGACAAATGGACATTTCATGTTTATATTTAATATAGGGTGGGCTCAAAAGAATGGTGTGGGCTAGAGATATCAACTTGGGAATCTTTGCCATAAGGATAATGTGTCAACCATGGCAGTAGACCATACCATCTAAGGGGAGAGCACGGACGGAAAAGAAAAGGAAGCCAAGATCAAGCTTTGTCCAGTATCAAAGGCCAAATAGTGAAGGAGGAATCGGTGTAAGACACTGAAAAGAGCATCTGGAAGGGGAGGGAGAACCAGGATCAAGTGGTATTATAGAAAGGAAGACATCATTTCAAAACAGGGAACAGCCCACACTGCTAAGAGGTATAGGTTATCCCACCATCAAATCTGTATGAAAAAGGTATTTTTCTGCCCATCGCTAGTCAACGAAGATAGGTAGATGTGAAAAACAAAATATAGCCAAGATAGAGATCTAAGTGATAGCGAGTTTTGTGTGGCTGATAAACTGTTTAAATTGGAAAAAAGGCTTTGTTAAGCATGGAAGATTGAATATATGCTTCTATCTCTAATTCATTTAAAATTCTTTTAAAATGATGCTAAAGGAGAGGGAGATGGTATAAACTAGCAAGGACATAGAATATGGGAGAGGAGGCACCATGGAGCAGGAGAGAAAAAAACATGGCAAATGATGGACAAATGATAATTAAATTATCAGAGTGGAGGAAGCTGATATTTAGGTTCCTGCCTTGCAAACACTGGGAAATTAGAGGCTCTAAATATTGTCACATGTAAGAGTCAGGCCGAGGGCTTAGAAGCAAGGGATTCGGTTGAAAGTCTTTGTGGAAAGCAGCACATAGACAGTCAGGTCCCCACACCACACAGTCAGTGGACGGTAGGGTGAAAATGCTGAGAGATGTCAGGAGGATTAAGGAGATGTCTCCACATTGAACTGTGAGCTGACCGAAGCTCTTGTTTGCCCTGTTAGCTCCAAAGAACCTTCAAGAACTTATAGCCCAAGCAGTGAACTGCCCCCAGAGAAAAGAGCTACGGACAACTGGGAGTCTCCAACGAAAATGCTCTGCTGGTCACCCAGTGGCCCTACAATAAGGGCCATCAGTCAACAAAGTAAAAAATCAGTAAACAAAGTGGGCTGATGGGCATGAAGCTTCGAGAGAGAGAAAACACACCAAACAGGAAGAAGGAACTCACTGAGAACATAAATCATGGAGAGGGCAAAATAAAAAATGTTTGTACTACAGTATCCTCAACAAGATATGAAAACATAATGAGTCCATGAAACAAGAATAGGATGCAGTTTTTAAAAGAGCATTCAGAAAACCAAAGGAGCTCACAGAGATTAAAGTATGATCACTGGGGTAAAATATTCAGTCACAGATTTGGAAAATAGAGGAAATTTCCTGAGGTAGAAGAAAAAGATAATCAAATGGACAATAGGAGACCAGAGGTAAGAACACAGAGGATCAATTCTGGTGTTCCATCATACATCTCTTGAGAGTTCCAGAAAGAAGAAGGTAAACAGAGGAAGACAGTATCAAAGAATAGTCTCAGAATTGAAATACGTGCGTTTTCAGACTGAAAGCAACCACCAAGTACCCAGCAGAATAAATGAGAGCTTAAAACAAGACACACCGTTTGTAAAACATCAGAACCCTGGAAATGTAGAGAAGATCCCAAAACTTTCTAAAAAGAAAAAAAAAATCACATAGTTATGAAATCATAAGCAAGGGGAAGCTGGAAAAAATAGACATAGAAAGTCAATAGTTTATGTCTAAAACTGATAAACTAAGAAATAATAATGTAAACATATTACTTAGAA